ATATTTAACTTGTGACTTAAGTGTTTAGTTTTGAGCTAAATATTTAGGTTGCAACTTAAATATTTAGCTAGCTACCTAAATAAATATTTAGCTAGTTACCTAAATATTTAGGTTGCAACTTAAATATTTAGCTAGCTACCTAAATAAATATTTAGCTAGTTACCTAAATATTTAGGTTGCAACTTAAATATTTAGCTAGCTACCTAAATAAATATTTAGCTAGTTACCTAAATATTTAGGTTGCAACTTAAATATTTAGGTAGCTAGCTGAATATTTAAGTTAAATATTTAAGTGGCTAGCTAAACATTTAACTTGCTAGCTAAATATTTAAGTTGCAAGGTAAATATTTAGGTAGCTAGCTAAATATTTAAGTTAAATATAAATGTATGAATCATATGGTGAAAAACAGACTTTGAAAAATAAATCTGTTCTTTTTTTTTTCTTATAAAAGGCTAAATAAAACAAAAAATATTGGTGGTAATTTTTGACTGTGTAACTTTACAAACGGCACCCCGTAGGAATGGTCCAGGTGTAGTTTCTATGGTATGAAAAATCACAGGTTAATGGCAGCAATAATTGCAAAAGTTGAGAGGAGAGAGAATAAAGATGGCAGCAGAGTGACGAAATGTGGTCAGTTTGTCCTCAAACTAAGACATAGCTTTGGAAACCCAGCCCTAACTTTGGAAACCCAGCCCTAACTACAGGATTTATTTAAAAAAAAAGTTTAAAACCTGGTCATAAAATTATACCAGGTGTCAGCTTCATGGACAGAAACTGGATGTGTGTCTCATATAAGAAGCTCTGCCTCCTGTTCTATGTTTAGCAGCTTTAGGAAGTAAACCTGCAGCCTTAGGGYTATTACATTCTGATGTTTGTCATTTTTCTGTCAGGTCAGCTTCAGCTCCTACAACCCGAAATATTATGACTCTGAAAACAACACCAGAAACAGGTGGGATGATCAAATCGTCGAATATGAGGCTTTTTTTCTCTTCAGTTTATAAGCTTTTCCCCCTGTTCTTCTTTTTACAGATCAACAGAAATCCTAAGTGGTTACAGGTAGGTCGGTACAACATAATGTAAGGTGTTCAGTAATGTTAGACACATGTCTCCTTTGTCTCTTCATTAGAAATCCACAGGGTAGGACGGGCATCGTGGGACGAGGTTGTCTCAGCCGCCTCGGTCCAAACCCAAACTTAGACCTTGTTCTAACACGGTAGGTCACCTCCTGGGGTTTAGGGGGATTTTTAAAAAGCTCGCAGCTCGTTGTGCTTAAAAATGAACTTTCAGGTGGCAAGACAGTGAGAGGTTAGTGTTGGAGTATCTGGCAGTCAAGGATGAGCATCAAGGATGTTGGACTCTTCCTGGGGTGAGTTCTTGGACTTCTTCACTTCGGGTGGTTTGTAAGAGGTTCTTGTTTTATTCTGAATCTGCAATTTCTGACCTTTTTTTCTTTTTTTTAGGGACCCATTGACGCTGATGATCACCTGCCTGTGGCTCTTAGGAGAACCCTGGGAAATAAGTTGTATCAAGCACTAAATGCAAAATTTGCAGAAGGAACGAAGGTTTGTGAACACAGCAACCTATAAGATATTAGTGAAAATAAAAAATAAAAAATAAAAAAACACAACAAGATTGTTGGTGATCTCATGACTGAAATCACAAACAGACCCACAACTACAGAATAAATTAAAGTAACTCCAAAAGTTTTATATTTTAAACATAATTACCCTTGTAAATGCATAAATTAGAGGTTTGTGCATCTATTGGGTATCATAAACCTTATAATATTAACATAGATTTTTATTATGGCATCATAAGAACATACAGCAATTTGTTATAAGAGTGTAAAAAATCTAAATAAATGTTTGAGTGGTACATGTACGAAAAAGTAGTGCTTTTAGACTACAGTTTGGTGCTTTATTTATCCAATTCTAAACCTGTTTCTCTACATTTTTCACAAATATTGAAAGTACTGTCATGTCTAAATAATTTAAAACAAGAGAGTGTCTTATCCTCTTGATTTCACAATTTAAACTGTAGTTTTTGTTCATATAAACTATGGTTTTATGACAGCAAAGTGGAATTTGTGGCTCCATCCAAACAATATTTAGTAAGAAAGATGGTTAAAATGGCTCTCTAAAACATAAAAAAGTTGCCATCCCTCGAGTTAAATAGACGATTAAGCACAATAAAGCATCTCTCATGAGTAAATGGAGGCATAAATGAGTCAAATTTAGGAGATTCTTAGAATTATTTTGCTTTTCTGACTTGTTTTTTTAACTACTTGTTAATTCTGAGTTTTTGTTGTCGAGTTCAGGTGTCTGAAGGTTACGTGGACGACTGCAGGAACACCGATAACGCCTGGGTGGAAACCACCGTCCTAAACATTCACCTGGACGGATCGAGTCAGGAGATGGTGGACATCAACAACATGGTGGGAAACATTATTTTACTAACGTCCAGCGCACGTGTTCGCCACGCGGCTTCAGAGGCGCTCAGTTTTCCTCTGATTCTGTTCTCAGGTCAAGAGTCGCCACAGCTCTCTCCTGTGGCAGGAGGTGAGCAGTCAAGTCAGACTCGACTCAAACCAAAGACACTCGCTGCAGCAGGTGGCAGCGCGGCACAACAGAAACTTCTGATGCTCTTCGTGCCTCCCAGTTCAGCTCGGCTTTGATTTTCCAAAACAGCAGTTTGCAACCTGAAAGCCTTCACCAAGAAGACAATCAGTGGATGACCTGCCTGCCAGTGTGGCCTCTCGCTGCATTTTGTTGCACTATTAATTATTAACGCCGTTTCCCTTCGTTCAGTAGCACCGCAACTTGCTTCGACACATTTTAGTTGGTTTTCAGTACGTGTTGCCTCTATGTGAGGCTGTTTGATAACTTCACCTTTAAAATATCCACATTCAAAACGAGCTTAATGGGTAAATAAGTGAAATAAAGTCACAAACGACTCACCGCACTCTCTTGTTTCCAAGAATGCTGAATCGAGGCCTTCCCTTCGCCTGCCAGCCTGTGAGTCTCTGACCAATCAGTGGTCTGACGTTAAATCTTCAGCTCCATCAGCTCCCACCCATCGGCCGAGCTGGAAGACCCTGAGCCTGTGTTGAGTCGAGCAGTGTAGGACCCCCATGAATAAAGGCCATAACTATTGTTGAAAAGCTGAAAATGAGCAGGACTGTTTGCAGTAAATGCTATACTATTTTCCCCAATAGCTGTACATTCACTAGTGTACCGTAGTTTAACTACTTTACTCCTAAGTAACCTAAAACGTACAGTTTGATATTATCGGAGCAGCTGTAAAATAAAACATTCTTGTAGTTAAGGATGTATTGTCCAAAAACTTGGTAAATAATGTGTTTATAAAACACATGAAAGCTATGATGCAGCTCAGTCTTTACTTTTTTTATTATTATTATTTTCAGGATGGCTAACGTTTGAGTCACTCGTTTAGACTTTTTTATATTCTCTGCAACAGTGTATTTTTTATTTTTATTTTGCTGTGTTTTTATCAAAGTAAAGCCTTAAACCACTCAGTCTCTGCTTCCTTGTTGTAAAATTCTGCTCAGGTGTATCATTGAGAGTCCTTTTGTTTCACACTGCTGCAGGTTTAACTCGGTGGACTCTGGTTTATTTCAGAGTTCAGGGGATTTTCTCTTCTTGCCAAGTCTGCAGGAGTTCAGTTTCGGACCGGGTTTCGGACCAGCCTCCTGCAGCTCTGATTGGTCCAGGGGGCGGTGGCCAGACTCAGTATCTGTTCCACGTTTTTATTTATTTATTTATTTATTTATTTATTTATTTATTTATTTATTTATTTATTTAGTCTCTCCTCCTGCCTGCAAGGTTTATTTACTGTTATGCAGTTAAGAAGCAAGACTCGTGTTGTAAAAGGACTTCTGTTTTCTTGAATTTGTGGCACAAATTCCACCACTGAACCACTTTAAATAATGGTAAATATTAAACTGCTATCACAATGGTTCTCAGAAAACATTACTTTTGTTCAGTTTTTTTTTAATTTTTTTTATTTTTATTTATTTATTTATTTATTTTTGCCATTGTGGCTTTATTCCTCCTTTAAGTACCTGCGGAGCAGAGGAGCTATTTTTAAACACAGTGGCACAAAGATAAAAATAAACGAAGAGTTCACACTCTGCTTTTATTTTTTGACACCACAATTAAAATACCAACAAATCACTGCTGGACTGTTAAATCAACACACATGTTAAAACTACAATTGCTGCAGAATATTAATTAATTATTATAACACACCTTTTTAGATCTGCCTTTTCCACATGACACAATTGGTTTGCCTGATTTTTACATAGATTTTTACATAGATTTTATAT